TAATATACTTTGAAATCAAGGAATTTAATGTCTCCAGTTTTGTTCTTCTCTCTCAAGATTACTTTGGCTATTTAGTGTATTTTTGTAGTTTTGTATAAATTTTAGGATTACTTTTTATATTTCTGTGAAAAATGCCATTGAAATTTTGCTAGAGATTGCATTCGGTCTGTATATCACTTTGTGTAGTAAGGGCATTTTAACAATATATATTCCTTCAATCCATGAACACAAACTATCCTTTCATTTAATTGTGTCTTCTTCAATATCTTTCATCAGTGTCTCATAGGTCTTAGCGTAGAGATTTTTCACCTATTTGGTCATATTTACTCCTAAGTATTTTATTGTTTTTGATGCTGCTATAAACAGGATTGTTTTCTTAATTTCATTTTCAGGTAGTTTGTTGGTAGTGTATAGAAATGCAACTGATTTTTGTATGTTGATTTTGTAGCCTTCAACTTTATTAAATTATTTTATTAGTTCTAACAGTTTTTTGATGAAATCTGAGGGTTTTCTATAAGTAAGATCATGTCATCTGCAAAGACAATATTATTTTTTCCTTTTTAATTTGGATTTTTTTTCTTGCTTAATTGCTTTAGTTAGGACTTCTAATTCTATGCTGAGTAGAAGTGAAAGTGAGTATCGTCTTGTGTCTAATCTTAGACAAAAGCTTTTAGCTTTTCATCATTGAGTATGATGTAATCTGTGGGCTTTCCATATGGACTTTATTATATTGAGGTACATTCCTTTCAAAGCTAATTTGTTGAGAGTTGTCATCATTAAAGGATGTTGAATTTGCTCAGATGTACCTACTGAGATGATCATATGATTTTTATTCTTTTTTCTACAAATGTGATGTTATTTATTGATGTGCCTAGGTTGAACAATCCTTGCATCCCAGGAATAAATCTCATTCGATCATGGTATATGATCCTTTTAATGTGGCTGCTGAATTCAGTTTGCTAGTATTTTGTTGAGGATTTCTGCATCTGTATTATTCAGGGACATTGACATGTAATATTCCTTTTTTTTTTTTTTAGTGTCCTTCAATAAGGGTGCCAAGAACATACAATGGGGAAAGGATAGTCTCTTCAATAAATGGTGTTGGCGAAACTAGATAGTGACATGTAGAAGAATGCTATTGGGCTTTTACCACACAATGTGTACAAAAATCAACACAAAGTGGATTAAGTACTTCATATTAAGACCTGAAACTCTAAAATGCTTCTGCACAGCAAAAGGAATAATCAACAAAATGAAGAGACAACCTGTGGAATGGGAGAAAACATTTTTAAACTGTACATCTGATAGAGAGTTAACATCCAAAATATATAAGGAAATCCTAAAACTCAATAACATAAATAAATAAATAAATAAATAATAATCAATCCAATTTTTTAAAAATGAGCAAAGGACCTAAACAGATATTTCTCAGAAGAAGACCTACAAATGGGCAACAAGTATATGAAAAGGTGCTCAACATTACAAATCACCAGGGAAATGCAAATCAAAACCACAGTGACATACCACCTCACACCTGTTAGAATGGCTGTTATCAAAAAGACGAAAGATAACAAACATTAGTAAGAAGTGGAGAAAAAGAAACCCTTTTACACTGTTGGGAAGGTAAATTGGTACATCCATTATGAAAAACAGTATGTTAATATTTGCAAATCTCAGATTCCCAGTTTATCCCTTCCCATCCTCTTTCCCCAGAAATTGACACATTGCAAACTGACTGGACTTCAATTTTTAAAAAAAAAGTATGGAATTTCCTTAAAAAACTAAAAATAGAACTCCTATATAATTCAGTAATCCCACTTCAAGGTATTACCCATAGGAAATAAAATCAGTATCTCAAAGAAATATCTGTATTCCCATGTTCATTGCAACATTATTCTCAATAACCACAATATAGAAACAGCATGTGTCCATTGTCCATCAATAGACAAATGGAAAAAGAAAATGTGAATATACATACAGAATGTATAGATATAGATACAAACACAAAATGAAATATTATTTGGGCATAAAAAAGGAAAGCTTGCCATTTGAAACGACATTGATAAACCTGGGAGACATTACGCTAAATGAAATGAGACAAACACAGAAAGACAAACACTGCATCATCTCACTTGTATATGGAATCAGGAAAGCAGAGGAGAACAGTTGGCTGTCAAGGACTAGGGGAAGAAGCAGTAGAGGAAATGTGGAGATGTTGGTCAAAGGGTCCAAAGTTTCAGTTATGCAGGAAGTAGTTCTGGAGACCTAATGAATAGCAGTGGTGACAATAGTTAATAATGCTATATTTTTTACTTGAAATTTGCTAAGACAGTAGACATTAAGTGTTCTCACCACAAAAAAAAAGGTAACCATGAGAGATGATAAATATGTTGATTAGCTAGATTATTGTAGTTAAAATATATGCATTTCTAAATATATGTAATTTATATATATTTAGATGGCACCCAATCTGCCACTGCTGCCTGAACCCCTGCAGGTGCCAATGTATTCCCTTCTGATCATGGAGATTAGGATCTACTTCTTTCTTTAACCAAAAGGCTGAAAATTGCCAGAATGTCATTTGGGTGGTGTGGAAATGAAGCAGAGTTTGTCACTTGATTGTCTAAATCAGGAAAGAGACTATTTATTGAGACCAAATATTTATGTGGCACTTCCTACGTGCCAGGCTTTCTTCTAAGCACTGTAATGTAACAAAACTAGGAACGAAACTAGGAAAGACCTTGGATGAATACCCAAACATTAATGATAAAGATATAGACCCTAAGCCAGAATAAACCTCAGAGATCACCTGTTTAGAACCCTGCCAGCAAAAGCACTTTATGCACAGGACAACTAGAGCCAAGAGGGGACTGTAACTTCTCAGGCCTTCTGAGATGAAGTGGGAGCCAGAACTCTGGTCTTTGGCCTCTTAGTGAAGTGGTTTTCCCTCTACATACAACCATTCATTATGGATTTATAGTTTTTCAGAGGCGACAGAAACGTGTAAGGTCACCTACATAGTGGTTGTCTAGGTATATTCAATTTACATAAATGACATGCTTTCAATAACTCACTGCTACTTTACTCCACCTCTCTCTCTCCTACTATCTAGGAACTCACCTGAAGGTCGTGATGCAGCAGCTGAGAATTGCTCCCCTGGACCATACTCTACAAGCTGCTCTACACACTACTTCCTTTAAAGAGGAAGAATTAAAGCTCTCCCTCTCCCAGCCTGCATTAAGAACAGGATGACCCTCGGTCTTTGTCTGCAATGACGAACTCTATCAACAGCTTTAAAGAGACATTCTGTGACCCAAAGCCAAAAGGCTGAGATGGACAACTCACTGGAGGATACTTCCCTGAAATCCTCAGAAAAGGCTGGGGCTACAGGTGACAGAAACTTCTCTAACCCAAAGTCCCTCTGGAAAACGTCCCCATGCCACCCTTACAAAGCTCTAGAAGTCCCTCTTCTCTGCCCATACTGTACTCCCTACCCTGAAATCATAGGCTGTGAATGAGGATGATCTCATCATTGGGTCAAGTTCAGAAAGACACTGATTCCTAATGAGTGATGCTCCCAGCTTACATGTTTGATGTTTTTCTATTTATTTTTAACAATAACCACCCAATTGAAAGGGAGCTGCACAGATGATATAACAAAACACGTTCCCTTTCTCAGTTATTAAATTTGTTTTACAGCTACATTTGTATTTATAGCTTAATCAGTTCTTTAAAATACTGACACGTGCAAATTGCATTATTAACTCAGCTAGAAGGAGATTTCATTAATCATGAGTGATTTTGATTAAAAGCTGTGTGGTCTCCTGAATGGACTTTAAAAAATAAAATGAAACCAAATCTCATGGCCTTCCTAAAGATGAAACCCACATAAAAATTTCTCTTCCAAAGCTTAGTGGACTCCAGCAACCATAAATGAAAGCTTTCTTCACTGGAAAAAAACTAAATGTGGAGAAAATCGCCTGTGTCAGTCAGAATTCAGCCAGGAAATCAGAAACCATACCAAGTCTTTTAACCAGGAATGGATTCAGTGTAAGGAACTAGGGGCTTATAAAACTATTGGAAAGATTGGAGGAGCAAAAATCAGGAGGAGCTGTCAGAAGTTTCAAGTTTGTGGCCACAAAGAGAAGGGAAACTGCTGCCCCCCAAAATCAGAACCACGCGAACAGCTGCTGCTAACTTCTCAGCCTCGTGTGGCTGCTAAGTGGGTAAGATGGTAACCACTCGCATCTGGACACGCAGGGAGTCTACTCATCAATCCACCACCACTGTCAGGGTGCAGGAAAAAAGTCTGCCCCCTCCCCCCTCCACCTCTGGGATCCTATAGAAGAGCATCTCTCTGGAGGAGTCCTGCCCATTTGGAACCCTACTATCCAAATCGTCCAAGAAACACAGTTCTGAAGTTTCCTCCTACAGCATTATGGGGGAGGATTTGTAAGGGATGGAAGAGAGCAAGTGCCAGCAGAAAATTCTGATACCAAAATTACTCCAGCAGGCAAACAAACCTCCAAACACCATCCTTCTCAGAAAAAAACCCAGGGACACACCTCTTTCGTCACTGATACAACTCAAAGATCGCAAATACACACAAAATACAATGACATACAAATCATCTCCGGCACTGTATGACCCCAGAAGGCAAAGTAACCCCTACTGACAAATTACAGAGAAAATGCTTCAAGCCCCCTTGCCTAGGACCCGCTCTTAAGAGAACTCTATATAAAATGTTAATGGAACAGTTCCTTCAGCAAAAAAACAAAACAAAAAAAAAAAACACTCCTTAAAGGAACATCAAAAAGTTAAGAGGATTCTTTCCATGTAAGACTAGGAATTCTCAAAGTTCTTAAGAAATGCTTGGTTTTATTTTCTAAAGAGATGATCAAATAATCTACATCAAGAAAAACGGCAAATGACGTCATAACTTTCCCAAAGATAACACTTTGGAAAAGTATCACATTTATTTACAGCTTAAAGAATATTACCTTGTCGCTCTTTCTCTGGTTTTATACTTTGAACTTGTTTCTTTCACTTTCAGTTAAAAGTGACCTTTTAATTGGGGGTTTTCCATGCATGATTCTTTTTCCGGAATCAGAGCCAAAGTTTTTCCATTTACATCAACTTATGAAAGGGCTTCCTCTCCTCCAAAGGAATTTTTTTTTAATTCTAAATACATTGTCTTCAAATCTTTCTTAGATTTAATATCCTGACCCAAAAAAAGCATAATATTCCTAACAAGAAAAAGGCATAAAGATCTGTCAGTTGCAAAAGTGTCATATCTTAATATTTTATTAATTGTATCCTTTTAAGGGATAATAATAATATTCCTTAATAATAATAAAATAAGGGATAATAACAATATAATGTGTCCCTTGGGGCTAAGAGTACATCTTCTCCCTAAAGGAATAATGAATTGGCATCCACACCACACTGGTGACTACAAATCTGTATTTACCAGGAAATACGCTATAATGCAAAATCTCACACAGAATCCCAAAGTGGATATGAGGTAGAAGGGAGCATTGTTGCAGGGGCTGAGGCAGGAATGGCACCTTCAGAGCCTAGTGTAACTTAGAATCATTTCTACTCCTCAGCGCACTTCCCTGTCTTCTTCACCGAGGGTTAGGATTATAAATGGGTGATTTGCCCTTTAAACTGCCTGCAGCCATCATAGCTAATGCAACAGCAGAAGACCTTGCCAGAAAGTCATTTCAGGAGCAAAAGGAAGCCTGGGTTCCATGGGAGAACGGCCATCATACTGAGCAGACAGCAATTTTCCAAGACTGCTGGCCACACACCCCAAGGGTTCCAGGCCAGAGCTGGTCAGGCCCAATCGCTTCTGCACTTCTCAGGACAATGGGAGTGAGACGTAGCTACGATCCAATGGCCCCCAACACTGGCTTGCTTAGCCCACCCTGGGCCAGGGTATTGGCAGGACAGACCTGCACTGCCTGCTATACTTACTGACCACTGGGAATCAAGGCCCTGAGGGAATCTGGCTCAGTATGAATGAAATGATAGACTTTATCCTTTAATCATTTTTTCTAAGCTGCTACTTTGTGTATAGTTCACAGTGTGTACTCACTTCCTAAAGAAGTCACGCTGTCTGGGTTTCAACCCTGTTCTGCCATTTACCAGCTATGAGATCCTGTGTAAATTAATTAATCTCTCTAAGCCTATTTCTTCACCTGCAATCTTAGGATGATAACAATAGTCAATACTTCATCTATTTATTGAGGGGCTTAAATGAAATAATACAGGTAAAATGGTTAGCCCAGAGACTCGTACCTAATAAGCACCCAATAATTAATGGCTATTAGATTTTTATCATATAGAATTTCTCTTTCTTTTTCATTTCTATTATTTATTCTTTAAAGTTACTGGATGTGTGTGTATTATGAGAAATACTGCATAAACCATTCCTCTGATAAAAACTCAAGTTAAGAAAATTAAACAATCAACCTAAAGGGCATAATACTGGAATAGCTTTTTACTAAAATATAACCAGTCAATTTTGAGTAACATACAATTTGCTGGACTCTAAAAAGTTATTCCATAAGTCTATGTTGTGTAGTCAGCATTATTTGTTACCAGAAGTCATTGCAGTGTTTTAAGCAGGGATTCACCTGTATATGATAGAAATTGGTCTAGACTGTGGTATAGACAAACTCTAGCCTAGACTCTGCTAAAGTAAATAGAAAGGTTATTACAATCGTGAAGTACCTTTTCTTGTCCCTAGAACTGTAAAATAAGGTGCCTAGCCCATTACATGGCTTCCTTCCATCTCCAAGCCTAGAGCTTTTTTCACTGGTAACAGTGTTAAATCTTTATTAACTTGTATCTTAGAAATGGCTGTGAAACTTCAGAATGAACAGAGTGAACACACTACTTCAGGGAGATAATTTTCAGCTGATTACTATTTAGCCACCTATTTCACAAGAGACTGGCCATATCAAACTCTTGAGAAGACAAACACTGTAAGCCAGTTATACATGGATCTTTTTCTCTGTGACTATCAAAGACATTCACAGCATTGCTCAGAGGCAAGCATTACGTATTTCTTTCAGGAGCTAGATGATTTACCCAATGTCGTGCAAATCCAATTGTAGGGCCAGAAACAGGAGTCCCCTTTGAATTCTCACCCCATGGCTCTCTTCATCAAGTATCTTAACTAGCTGAAATTAAATGGCTTGGAAGAGTGGGCAAGCAGAGTCACCACTGAACAGTCTTCAGCCTTTTCAAATCTCAGTTGGATACATATGGATGCATAAAATTAGAAACTGCTTTAATAATTAAAGCCAACTATTATTAGAAAAGCCAAATATTATTAGAAACATTGACATTTAAAATTCTAACCTTACTATTTGTTAAACAAAGGTTCCACCACCACTGGAGTAAGTATATGCCTTCATAAGAGGACCACTTTGAAGGACAGCCCTCATATGTATATACACATTCCCACACACACAGAATTGAAGAATATATGAAAATATAGTAAATTGCACTTGCTCTGTCAGACTCCACGTCTCCTGCTCTTGTCCCCAATCACATTTTCTTTCTAAATTAATCACAAAAGACCCCTCATTTCATAGCATGTGAGTGAAATATTTAATGACCTCTTTTTTCAGGTAAAAGGATCACTTGGAGGAGTGGAAGAGTTTGGCCATTCCATAGCTGCTTCTCTATTAAAAACAAATGATAAGGGTTAACAGTAAATCTGTGGGCCAGAGGTTAATGCCATAAATACATCAGCCATGCCTTTATGATCTAAAAATACCCAAACACCAAACTATGAAATGCTCTTGACGTCAATGGAAGACACAGCAGTCAATTGGGGTCACTTCATAATGTTCCCATAACTGCCTCACAGATAAACTTGTACTGTGGTCTTTCATGTCAAGACCATAAAAAAAAACCCTTCTGGGCTTCACAGGCAGTTACCTGTTAACTATACAATACACTAAATCCTCGTAAATTATGAGTCATATGACCAGCCATGGACAATAAGTATAACCTCACGCTCCAAGCATAAAATAAATTACAGAGAGAGACCTAGAGAGAAGTTTTATTTCTCTCTTTAATTATGCATTAGTTGTTTTTAAGAAACTTAAGTTTGAACCTAAGCTTCTAAAAAATATCCTCCAAGTTAAGGGTTTAGGCCATTTGGTAAAAATTCAATAAAATAAATTCAATTGTTTGAATATGCAGTTAACTGTATCAGATTTCTGTTTATCTCAGCTCTAAAAACATCATCTGAGGTCACTCTCCACAGTCTAATGTCACTAACCATCTTTTCATCTGGAATTTTATACTAGGAACTATAGAGGGAAGAACTGATTTCTTCTCTCCTCTCCCAGTGAGCACTTGCATCTGGAGGCTTTTTACTCTCTCTAGCTACATTTAAAATAAATCGACTCCCATGCAACTGAAAAATTGTGCTGAACACTGGAATTTGACACAACATTGTAAAATGATTATAAATCAATGAAAAATGTTAAAAAATAAATAAAATAAAATAAAATAAAATAAATCGACTCCCATGCAAAAGGTGATTAATTCATTGGTGAAGAAAACCGGGCCCCAAATTTTGTACTTGCCAGGCCTATTGAAGTCTTAAATTTAGAATCAGTCCAGAAAGCCCGTATCAGTATGACCTCTGGTGCACCTGAGGTAGCCAGTGGATCTGAGATCTCATGAAATCTTCCCCCATTAAAGTGATGTCCAAAGGCCAAATGCAGAAAAACATTTCATTTGTGTGTGAACAGAATTACTGCTTTATAACTCACCGGCTTTGGAAGAGAGTCAAAATTCATGATATTTTATTCAGCACAAACAAAGATTAAGAAATACTATTGTTTCACCATGGAGCATTAAGTAGAGAAGAAATAGCAATGTCAAGTGACTGGCATCACTATATTGCAATATATCTAATTTATGTTCTGTGTAACATGATATTTTTAAATGCTTTAAGACATCTAAAATAAATGTTGCAGACTGGTGGTGCCTTTGGGGTTCTAGCTGGTGACTGACACTACAGAGGGAACAATACACACAATTAGGTGCATTTATAAGGTCTAGAAATTGCCTAATCCAATATATTGGGAGTAATCAGCAATCAGATGCAGGCTGAGTGAATTTAGGTGTATGAATAGTAGTCCAGATTATACAAGGAAGTTTTTCTCATGTCTAGATAGACAAAATGTATTAGATCACTCCTAACTCTGACTGTATTACATAGATACGGCCATCAAATTCCAGAGCAGTTGATCTATTTCCGAAGTCAAAGTAAGCTCTGTGTGGGCAAAATTTCTTGAAAAAATTTGTTCTGAGCTCAGGGGTCTCAGTTTGTGTGTGTATGTACTTAAAAATAACATAAATTACAGTGCTAAAAACAGGGAAGACACCATTCCTTATCTCTTCTGCTTTTATTCTTTGCCTGTTTTTCTATGATACTTTGACCTCATATCAATTCGTAGTGTCTGTTCAATGTTTTGTGAATATTTTTGCCAATTTGTCATTTGTCCTTTGACAACTGCATTTTTTATTAAAATCCTCTCAGTCTTATTTGCTCAACAAAAGTTTTAAAACACATTTTAATGTAATCAAATCTGTCCATCTTCATTTACGCTTAAAAATGTCTTTCCTTTATGCTTAAGAATGTCTTCCCTCACACAGTCAAATAAATTTTCTCCTAAATTATCTGTGAATACTTTCACTATGTTTCTTCATTCATATCTTTAATCTATCTGGGATTGATTTTTGCTGCATGGATTGTAGTAAAAAAAATCTCTAAAAACATGAAAAGATGCTCAGCTCCCTACTGTCACTGAAAGGAAATGACAGCAATATGACCATGCCATTTTGTTCAAATCAGAGTGGCAAAAATTATAGAGTAATAATACCCCTAATGGTTAACATGTGTATAAATGGGGATTAGTATGTATTGCTGGCGGGCCTGTGATTTGCTACGGTCTTTTGGAAATGTAATCTGATAACATGTTTAGTTTCAGGAATCTAATACTTAGCAAT